GAAGTGTCTTGGAGCCAAATAACATGTGACAAGCTTACATGTGGTAGTTTACATAAAGAGGAAGCTAAGAGTAAATTTTTACTTCCACATATTCTGGAAACCTGTTGTAACAACAACCCTAACTTTTCTCCCCAAAGTCTAATGATGAATGGAGAATTGTGTATCTTGTTCTTTGCACTTCACTGCTCTTTCCTGCTTACCAAAGTCAAAGTAATTTTTCACCTCAAGTGTAGTTATTAAACCAGTCAGTTGCTGATACAGAAAAAATAATCTATGTTTTGATCATGCAGAATATCTTAATGTGCAAGTAGTGTGAAGCATGTTTGTTCTCTATCTTTACTGGAGACCTGCACATAGGGCCTTCTGTGCCACCTTACAAATGGTAAAGGGAAGCTGATACAGTGACATATCCAAGTTTAAATAGTTCATTCAGGGTAAAAATTCCTTCAGAGTCAACAATCAATTTGAGCAAGGGCATGTCCACCCTTTCTTAAAGAGATGAGAGTACCAGACCATCTTATTTGTCTCTTGAGAAACCTGTATGTGGGTCAAGAAGCAACAGTGAGAACTGGACACGGAACCACTGATTGGTTCAAAATTGAGAAAGGAGCATACTGAAAAGCAGAGACATCACCCTGCCAACAAAAGTGTGAATAGTCAAGGCTATGGTTTTCCCAGTTGCAATGTATGGCTGTGAAAGCTGGACCATAAGGAAGGCTGAGCGCAAAAGGATTGAGGTCTTTGAATTGTGGTGCTGGAGGAGACTCCTGCGAGTCCCTTGGACCGCAAGGCGATCAAACCGGTCAGTCCTAGAGGAGATCAACCCTGAGTGCTCTTTAGAAGGCCAGACACTGAAGATGTATCTCAAATACTTTGGCCACCTAATGAGAAGGAAAGACTCCCTGGAGAAGAGCCTAATGCTGGGAACAATTGAAGGCAAAAGAAGAAGGGGACGGCAGAGGATAAGGTGGCTAGATGGAGTCACCGAAGCAGTCGGCGTGAGCTTAAGTGGATTCTGGCGGATGGTGGAGAACAGAAATGCCTGGAGGAATGCTGTCCATGGGGTCGAGATGGGTCAGATGCGACTTCGTGGATAGCGACAACAAAATGCCCACCCTGCAGGTTTAATCTCGTTTAGTGTCCTAGGGCGCATTCAGAACTGGAGTTCTGTTGTGGAAAAACAATGATCTATATAAGAGAACATTTCACAAAAAGACAATCCTTTGGACTTGTTCAGTATGTTGGTGAAATACAGTGTTTCACCAGCACACCTCCAGTTGTGTAGTGGCCTTTTTTTCATCCTCCTTGTCGTCCCTAAAACTGCTCCAGAGAATCCTCCAAAGATCTGAAGCAGTTGGGGGACGAGTGCTCGGTGAGATTTTGCTCTGTCTTTCCAAAAGTTCTAAGGCTACTAAAACCCTCTCAGTATTGTACTAAACACCCTAGTTCCATGAACGCTGAAGGACAGACAAAAGGCAGGGGCAAATCTTAAAATTGGCTTTCACGCAACAGTGTGGTACTATACTCTCTCCAGACACTCAGTGGTATTACTTGCTTCGGTGGTACTTACTGTTTCTAGCAATTCAACTTCAGCATTTGTTATTGTTGCCTGCATTTCTTTACTGTCTTGACTTGATAATAATGTATGTAGTACTTGCCCACATATGGCTATGCATTTTATTTATTTATTTTGAGATTAAGAATCAGTCAGCTCTGCTTTAGTCAAAGAGAACAATTGCCATTAAACATCTGTCTTTCCACAGGAAAATATAACCGGCTTAATTGAAATGTTTTTTATACATGTGAAAGAACAATATGTTTGCTAAGAGACAGATACATTCAGTTATGGTTCATTATTATCCTCCATCTTTCTAACAAAAATAAAGTCTGCTTTGTGCCTGTGTACATACTTTGTTAGCATACTTGCATTGGTAAACAATGTAGCTTACTGCTGTGGTAGGTGGACCACCCATACAAGCACATTTGAGACATGTTTGAAAAGCCCTCTAGTGAAGCCAGGAGTGTCACTGAACTTCCTGGAAGTTGGCTCCTCATTTTATTGAGCAGAAGACACACACGACCCCAAACACTATTGCTCTTTGTTTAGATGATGCATTTTCCTTATGGATTTCTCATTCCTCGGTGCAAACGTTTCTGTAATAATAAGGCATTATGTTTTACACTTTTCAAGTTTCTTTAAAATCATCATTTTGTCCAAGGATGTCAAATTGCAAAGAATGATCTTGAGTCGTATTGTCAAAGTCTGAGATTTGAATGACATAGTCAAAATGCATAATTTGTAAGACAGTAAGTGTGCAAACCTATGCATTCTTATGGAGAAAAAAGTACTACAATTCCCAGCATTCTGGGATCACAGAACTTTATGTATGCAGAGGATTTCACCTTAAGTAAGCATAGTTTAGATCCTTGCCTTTTCCATCTACATGGATCAGGAAAGGAAGCCATGTATTTAGGGTTGACTAAAGGCAGACACCAGTGGAAGAAGAGATTTGAATCTAAGTACAGTCTTTATTGATATGAGTACTCTAAACATGTCACCAGTACAAATGTACCAGGGGCTTGCAGACAGAAACACCTGATGCTCCGTAAATCTCTTGGCTTTTGTTAAACTGTTAAACTGATGTCTTGGCTTCAGCTAAGCCATTGTGCTTTTGTCCAAATATGGTGCTGTGAGGCCAAACAAAAACCTGTCCAAAACAGAGAAAACAGTTGTTCGCTTTTGCCTTGTCCTATGTGAAACACATGAAGAACATGCTGTCATAATGACACCAGACTCAAAATTGATGCAACTGAGTCCGTCAGTTTTGCTTTCTCTCACATTCATGTTTTTAAAAAATCATATTTTCTCTCCTGAGGAAGAAGAACTTTCTGAATATTGGTGCATTCTTATAAAAATAATCTCAAATGAAATTATTCACCATATACACCTACCAAATTCAACAGGTTTAGCAATTGCCAACATGGAGCGGACTTTGAGGTAGCTGCTTCCCAGCTGTTAAAAATGAGGCCTCTGTCTGAAAAAGAAGTGACAACCAGTGATGGATGCCATTAAGAACTCAACCTGCCTGTGCTCAGAATTTTGGCATCCCACAAGCTTGAGAGTTGAAAGTAGAATGAATAAAGATTCTTTCTTTCTTTCTTTCTTTCTTTCTTTCTTTCTTTCTTTCTTTCTTAAGCTTCCACTTTAAAGCTATTAGAGGTTATTGTTTTTAAGCCAGATGATTTTGTATAAATTCTGATTCCAATTTGTGTAAATTATGGCTTGAATTGCACATTGAAAAAAATTTGGTTGGAATTTACACTAATTTTCCAGGCACTGAAACAAAGAAAAACAAAGCAGATGAAGGCCTGCTTTAAGAAGTGAGGACTGCACACTGCAATCTGCTACATCAGAGCAAGTTGGTGCCACTGCTGGGTTGATGGGCTGGAATCTGGGAAACTGATCCTGGTCAGTCCAACAGATTTTCCCCACCAAATGGATTTATCGAGCAGCAACCCTACCTCATACTTCCTGAGATACCTGATACACAGGATTTAAATCCAAACATTTAAGAGCTAAACATTCAAAGTCCTTGACCTGGATAGATAGATTTTGATTTCTCCTGTGTGTGTGTGTGTGTGTGTCTGTGTGTGTGTGTGTGTTTACTCCCCCCCCCACCCGCCAATCTCTAATTCTTTTTCCCTCAAATACACATATATTTTTTTCCAAATTTAGGTTAGTTCTCATCAAAATCCAAAATTAAATAAAATGGCATCAAAACCCATCTCTAAAAGCCACCTATAGCAGGAGGAACAGTCAAGAATAAATAGCAACCAGAATGAATAGCTATAGCCTAGCTCTTCATTATGCCCATTGGATCTCTGGTATCTCATCATTATTCCTTCTGCTATAGCTGCTCAGGAACTGACCTTGCACTGCAGATGAGGAAGAAAGTGGGGAGGGGGAACCAGCTTGCGATAAAAGCAAATACGCACCCATGCACCAGCATGTACAAAACTCCTACAGATGAGGGTGAGGTGATTCCTTGCTATTCTCCTTGAAGCAGACTTTTGATTTTCCTAAACAAATTGTAGCATATATAGGAGTCTGGAAGTTTCAGAATCTTGGAATCATATAACTTGCTTATCTATATGCTACCAGACATGCGTATGCTGTACCTGCTATCGCAGTGGAGAGTATCTGCTGCAATTTTAGTGCATGAGGACAGAAAATCAGAGCTGTGGCCTGTTCGAATGAAATATACAGATTCAGAATGAATTCATTCCTATCAATGGTTCCAAGAGTGGACTCACAGAAAACGTATAGGAGGTAGCATTGTTTTGCTGGTGGTTGCACCATACAGCCAACTCTTGGAATAGCCAGCCAAACAGAGTTGCAACAAGTTGTGGAATGGCTTCTGTGGCTGCTTGTGGAAGAGCTTGTGCAGGTGGAATGAGAGTTTCAAATCTGGCACTTGCAGAAGGATGAAAAGAAGCTTTGCACTAGCAGAAGGATAGCCTTTAATACAGCCCAGTAATAAGGCTTCATTAATATGCTTCTGATCACTGGGACCATGAATTACACCAAAAGGGAATTCAAGGTAAAGCTGTAGCTGAAAAATGCAATTGTCACTGGAAAAGTCACTTTGAAAGGTAGTCCCAAATTTCTTGAGCCAATGGATGCATGCCAGTGCATACTGTATGTGGGGAGACCAGACAGGGGTTCTGGCATGATGCGGGGATTTCACCCTTTATCCCAGTTGTGGTTCTTATCAGATCTTGCAGTGCCTTTCTGTGCAAACAGCAGGGGTGTACGTGTGTATGCATGAAAAAGAGCGAGCGAGCGAGAGAGGATTGATTCTGAGCAGGTCCACAGAGGTGTCCAAGAGTTAAAGCCCTTCCTGCACAACATAGTCCCAATTTGGCTAGATTGACACCAGCACCATAGTTTATTATTGTAATTTATTATTGTAGTTTATGTCTTTTTAAAAATAACATACCTATTATGTGTGCTTTGGACCTTGGATTTCAGCCAGCTAGCCTGTGGAAAACAATAGAACATGATACATTCATTTGTGTCCAAAGTTACTTTGCTTGGAAGGTGCCTTCGACCCGCTCCCAAGAGTATGAATTCTATGCAAAGTAGACTGCCATGGCTTGAAGAATGGCCTAACTGCTGTCCCAGGGAATATGTCAGGGACTGGCAGGTGGCAGAGAGGGAGAGTAACAGAAACAGGAAGTCAGCAAGCTGTTTAGATGTAGCCCATTCGGCTGACCGGGTTCAGGAAATTGGCAGGTCTTTGCATTAGAAAGTTCCAGTGTGGAGAGCCGGCCCATTCCGTAACATCTCCCCATCAGCTTCCCTTTTCTCCTGATGCAGCCTTCCTACACATGGGTGCTGCAGTGTTGACAATACGCACAAGAGCCTTGAAGAACTGACTCGGAAATGAAAAGAGGGAAATGTAGAGTGCCACAAAAAATGTTGCAGCATTTCCAAAGTCCCTGGCTGGGGCTCAGGGGGAGGGGGGTTGGAGGAAAAAAACATACCTTAGCATCAAGGAGATGCCCCCTGCTTTAACTTGGGACTTATGGCATATGTATCTTTTTTTTCTTTTTACCTGTAGAAAATTTTAAAGCACAACCAGTCTTTATACAAGCTGATGGAACAACTGCTTGCTTCCTTTAACCTGTGAGATGTCTGAGAAGTCATATAGTGGTACCTTGATTCACAAACTTAATTAGTTCCACAATTCTGGTCGCAAACCGAATTGGTTGAGAACCGAGTCAAATTTCCCCATAAGGTTCAATGTAAATAACATTACTCCATTCTGAACCATATGTAATTTTTTTTTAACCACAAAAATATGAAACAAAGTACAGCGCAGTACAGTATGAAGAGAGAGAACACTAACCTTGCTTGAGGCGACTTCTGGCATGGAGGATGGGAAGGTGGGTAGGGAGGAGGTTACTGTTTGGAGGGAGAGTCTGTGACTATGATCTCGACTAGAAGCCGCAACCACATGTCAGTTCGTGTGAACATGAACACGGCCATCTTCCCTGCACGAACAAGATAGTGGCCATCTTCCCCACACTACGACCACGTGTCAGAGCATGTTTGAGCGGGGAAGATGGCCATGTTCATGTTGTCATGGGGAGGATGGCCACAATCGTGTTCATCACCCGATGTGGAATTCGCAAACGGAAGCAAACTGAATTGTTCACGAACAGAAGTGTTCATGAACCAAGGAATTACTGTATTGACTCTAACTCTGCCCTGAATTATGGCACTATTCTTTCCTTCAATATAGACTTCTGAATGCAGTAGGGATGTGAACTACTAAATCCAACCAGCAATGTGTAAATTAAATTAATAGATAACTCTACAGGGGTATTGTAAGAGATTCTCCCAGCTGTGGCCCAATCCCAACTTGTCATAGGGGTTTAGTACTTCTGAATGACATTGAAGAATTATTGTAATCTAAATTATCCAGGCAGTGCAATATTAATGTGAACTACACTGCAGGGCTATCATAAGTCCTCTCGTGTAGCCATTCAACCTGTGATTGGAGACAATGGACTGCATCTGCCCTGGAATTTACATTGGCAAGGTTGTGGTGCTGGCTGCCGTTAAACTTTCACACTAAATAAAAACATATTTAGAAAGAACCAGAATTCTTCTCCTTGGTTTTGGGTTTCTTTGTTGATGTAGGCACAGTGGGGAACAGTCCCAACTACATTAAAATCCATTGTTCTTAATTGTTTTTTTAGGTAGATCTCACTATTGTCAGTGGGGACATTTAAAACTTTTTTTTTTTTTAGTACGAGCTCATTATTCTCATTGTTTCAGTGTGTATGGTGATATGATTCTCTCTATAATTTTTATATCTGTTTCTTTCTTCAATCTATTCCTTGTTATTATACCTAGTTTGCTGGTGTTCCTTCCCAAGAGTCAGTGAGAATTGCATGTCCAGTGAGCATTACTTTTCTGTGAGGAGCCCTTTTCAGTTTCTTTCTCTCCCTTACATTTCCTCCCACTGAAGACTTTTTCCTACTTTTGCAAACCTCAGAGTACCCCTGAATTTGTCGACACCTTTCTCTTATTATGTGGCTGTGGTCCTTTTAACTATACAAGCCTAGCGCTCTCCCCTGAAAATCAGAAATAGAACATAAGATGGATTAATGAAATTAAGGGGTATTCATGATTAAGCTATGGATTCATAATTTAAACAGCACTGAAGGGCCTACCACCTCCAAGGGTTACACAAAGCCAAGGAGAAAATTGTACAAATGGTTCATTCCCTTCCCCCTCCTTTTAAACATTCCTTCTGCCTTATGAGTTCCAAGACATATTAATGTTTTATAACATCAAGTCTGGCATAATGTTCAAACCTCAGAAAAATCAGAAACTTGTTGCAGTTCTTTAAATTAGTTCTAATTCCTTCTTTGAAGTTAACATATTTTTACCAGATGAGATACATTTTCATTTTCCCTGTATTCTTCTCTGAAGAAGACAAAAAGCTGTTTTAATTCCTATTCCTAAGAATAATGGCAAACTTGTATAGCAACTTAAATGGCATTCAAGGATCCATCAGATTAAAATATAATCAGGTATCCAGTTACAAATATCATTACAAATGTAATACGTAAGAACAAACTGCAGTGTGTGCTTCAAATGAATTGCAAAACATCTTATAAACAAGTTTCATTAGTCACAATCCTTCCATTTCACCACACGTACAAAATGGTGAAATTGTGGTTTTATGTATGCATGTTTGTTCAATGGCTGAGCTTATACTGGAGATTGTCAAATGGTAACAGAAAGTGTGCTAAAATCCTACAAGCATTTGAGAATGGATCACACAAATATGAATTAGTGGGAAAGCACATAACAGGAAAACTGAAAATCGAAAAAAATCAGAGAGTATGGTCTGCTTATGAAGTTGAATACCTAGAAGTAGGAAGGGCTTCCTAGAGACAGACAAGGCAACCCATAATTAAAGGGATGCCTTCTGGTAATCATCATTAGACATGTTCATGCAGAACCTCTATTCTCAGATGGCATAGTAGGTACCCCTGAGGTAAGACCCTTCATCTTTACTTCTTTTCTTTAACTCTCCTGTTCCTGAATTAAATTACCCAATAAGAAAACTTCAATGACAAAAGGTTGCAGCATGCTTGTCTTGCCTCTTCTACTTTTCAGGAAACTCCTTAAGTTCCAGCATATCCTTGACAAGTGGGGTGACCACTTATGTATTACCAAAGAAGAGGAAATTTATCATCAAAAAAGTGGACAGAAAAGGACGGCAATGTGCATAATATTCGCATATGAATTTTTCCATGTGTAGGTGCAAATTTAGTAAGAGTAGCTATTATTTAAATAAAAATGCAATGCATCCCCCATAGCAGAGAAGGTCATCTCTGTTCCCACCTGTTCAATCAGCAGTACAGGTGCTAAGAGTTGCTGGGCAGCTTCAAAGCTCAGGCCTTTCTCCTTATCATCATTTGATTTTAAACCAGATTTGACTGGGCAGCCCTTTAAGTAGAGGACACCTTCAGGTGGAATGCTATCTCCTTCCAGGTCTCTAAAAATAGGACTATCCTCCAAAGGACACCTTCCTAATGTAGCATCCTTGATATTAATCATACTGCACTACCTCCTAGGATTGGGGTGAGGAACATTTTTTCTCCAAAGCTCTAACTCAGGGTCACATTCCTTAAGAGGGTTAAGGAACCCCCTTAATCCATAGAGGGTTGCATGCCAGCAGTGAGTGGGGCTAAAGTGGGTGAGGACACAGCCAAGAATGCTCTTTTGGACAGCCCTATTTCCCTCTCTCTTTTCCACCCCATGGCATTGCTCCCACTTCTTCCCTCCCACGAGCCTCACTGACGTTAGCCCAAGTTGGTGAGGGACGGACAGATCTTTCTTGCAAGAATTCTAACCTGAGTGACTGCTGAAGACTTTTGAAATGATGTTGCTGGCCACCAGTTCCTACCTCTTTTCTATGCTATAGCTTGAAGCTACATTTAGTAAGCTATGATGGCATGATCCTGGCCTGAGCCTGCCTGGAACACAGATGACCTCGGAACCCTATGTATCCATGGATGTTCCATTATTGTTATGATTACTATCGATGATGATGATGATAAGTATTATTACATTTCTATACTGCTAAAGCTCTTGAGAGGTTCACTACATTTAAGTCACCCATCCAGATTTCAAGCAGGCCCAACCCTAGTTAGCTTCTAAGATTAAGCAGGAACAGGCAATTCAGGCTATATGGAAGGAGGGGGATGCAAATGAATAGATAAATATTTAAATAGATAAATGAAGTCTACTATGTGGATTTGAATAATTTATTTTAGAACCCCAAACTCTAACTGTACTAATAGAGTTGGTTTTTGTGAGGAAAAAGAATAACAGCTCACAGAATGGTGAAGGGCAATGGAAATAAGGCAAACAGCACTCTATTATTAAGGATTAGGGTTAGTGGGATGCCTGTAGGCCTCTGGATGGACATGCTATGCAGAGTGAGAAGAGTGCGGAGGCAAAGCTCTCCTCCCTGCTCTATAAAACAGCCAATTTTGTCTGCCTAACTGTGGCACTTTGGAGAAGGAGAAATGAGGCTGAAGCACCACTAAGATACTTGTCTTGGTGCTGCCAGTCTCCTACTTTCCTCCCCACACCCGGACCCCTTCTCTGAACCTAAACTTTGGAGAAATAGCCAGCACAGTTATTCCCACAGCAGCTGTGGGGAGATGGCGACACTCAGGTGAGAGGATCTGTGTTCAAGTGCAAATTCCCAGAGCTAAGATCAGACCTGTTTTTCTACTTTGGATCTGGGAATTTGAAAATCCTATGCCCCTCTAGATCTGCCCAGCGGCTGGAAGGTTGCTCTGGCCACCTGTTCTGGGTACACTAAAAGAGAGAGAGAAAGGGGAGAAGAAAGTGGATAAGTCAATGGAACAGGAAGTTCCTGAGCCCCAGCTTTTCTGCTGTCTTCAGCTGACATTCGCTTAAAAGAGATTGCACCAGTACAGCTAAAGCATTACCCAAAACAAAGCAAACAAAAACTACCCTGTGGCCAATGGCTAATTCCCAAACTGTAACCTAGTAAGAACTTATCTAAAGAAGGGGTTCAAGTTACCTGGAAAGCAATCTTTCCATACTGACAAGATAAATGATGCCTCCTGGATATATATTTTTCAAACCATCTGGCACAACATGCTTTTTTTAATTAGATGTTCTGAATCTTCCCAAAGGCTATTTGCTTAGGTGGAGACCTTGCAGTTATTTTTATTAAATAAATTACTGTGGCAACATCATAGTGTAATTTTAAAACTATGTTGTGTGTTTCTCAGAAGCAAATATTCACAGTATAAAAGGTTCCATGACACACTTAAGATGGTGCTCAGATTAAGATTTTTTTTCTCCCTTTTTGAAGTAACCTGTGCAGTGTGGACATCTTCCCAGAAAGATATCCTGATGATTCATCTAGTGAAACCTATCTGATGATCCAGGTCTAGTTAACCCAGGTCATGATCAACACAGCAGACTCCCCAGGTTGTTGCAGAAACAGCTGGAATCTCTTTATTTCAGTGGGCTGAGCTTAAGAGAATAATAATTGTACTGACCTCCTACAGTGCACTATTTTGATGTTGATTCATTAAAAGCATCACCAAGGTTGCTGATAAGTGGTTGCTCATATTCTCTTCTGGGTATTTCATTTCAAATCTCCATCTTATTCTTGTTCCTGTTTAATGCACTTAAGGAGTAGTGAAGTACAATTTTAGGCATTTTCACCTAATACTGACATTGGAGAAAATGGTTTCATTTTCATCCAAGGCCAATCTGATATGCCTATACATTTTTGTGTGCTGGTAACCCAAAGGCAAAGTGATTTGAAAAGTGCAGTAAACTGTACATGCAGAAATACAAAATTTTTTTTATAAAATCCCCAAATTAAAGTGGAAGGCAGTGGGTGCAGAAGGTAGAGGCAGAGCTGAAGAACTGGAGTAGAATAGAGTTGGTGAAATCCATTCTTTCCAAAAATAAATGGATGAATGGAGTTGTTCTGCACTTGTTGTTATTGGCTGATGAGACACTGAACTGATTCGGCTAAGCTCTCACAATATTATATTTTCTGTCTTGTTTGCCTGGTGTTTACTGGTTGCATTAATGGAATGTTGTGCTAGAGACAGAGAAAGACTCAGGGCATGAGCCAATGTCTTCTGCACTTGATGCACATAAGCCTCCAAACATGCAAGGTACAGTGGTAGAGCTTTCTGTCACCTCCATTTTGGCTGTCTAGATTGTGCTGGGGAAGGGAAGGGAAGGGCTTGCCTCCTGACACATTCCTTTGGCCCTCTCTGAGTCTGCTTGCGGACCTCAGAAAAGTAGCCAGCATGGTTCTTCCCCCACAGACTGTGACCAAGGTGGGACGGAGGCTCTGTGTTCAAGAACCTTGAGGACCAAGGCTGGACCTCTGAGAAATCCCATGGTTCTTCCAGACAATGTTGGAAATCATAGGATTGTATGCTTAGTCCTAAGATCTCTGAATCCACATTAAAGGCTACATTGTTTCCCTTTGCATTGTGGTAGCAGTTTGGGGGAGATTTTTAAAAGCTTCCCCACAGCCAAATTGCTTCTAAATATAATTCCCATTATATTTTCCTATTTTTTGAACATTATCTGTTCATAATTCCTCTCACCTATTGCAGAGGTCTCCATTTACATTGAAGGGCCCAGGAAAGAAGTAGATAGTTGAGTAGCTACTATCTCACCCTGAAGCACTTCTCAGTATTTCAATAAATTGCAAATTCTTTGGCAGATCCACAAAAATGTGAGAATATTCTGATAGAGCTGTAATTGACACTGCATTCATTGCTTGGAAGAAAGATTTAATATAAAGATTAGGAAAATGAATAACAGTCTTTTCTTCAGCTTCATTTTATGTGTGTTGTTGCAAAGAAAGAAAGAAACCATTCCAGCAACCATCCCAGTAGGACTACTTTACTCCCATATTACAATAATGTGCATTGTAATTCTGGGTTACTTTCCCATCTCTTCAATATATAAATTTACCAAAAATGCAAAACAATGCAACTAGATCTCATTTACAATTATGCAATTTTGAAGCTTACAAATGGAAGCCAATTCAATCAATCGTCTTCCCCTAGGATTAATTATCTTTATTTAAGACACCAAAAAAGATGCATAAAATTTAATAGCAGGCCAGTTCTTTGTTTCTACCTTTAGTGAAAAATGTTTATCTTCTAGATTTTAGAGTCTAGAACATTGTTCTGGTTCTTCTTAGTCCACCAATATTTCTTTGGCTCAAAGAAAATTTTAATCTTTCTAAAAACTATGTGGTCTGACGAGTACATCTGGCACTCTACCGTAATGTGCTCTGTAGTCAGAGGAGATCAGTAAATGGGAGGTAAGATGCCTTATGCTTTACAAGGTTCAAATGCCAATTCTAGAGTTGCCTCTAGAAGACTGCTAATAAGCTTGCATAAGTGGATACCATCCTCAAGTATCTACAGGTTCCATCACAGCCAGATGTAGTATGTTCTGTTATGCAGGGCAGCAGCTCATGTCCTGTAATGGCAGCATCATGCAGTTGCGACCCTGTGGACTTTAAGTTGCAAAGCAAACAGCAAAATGATACAACCTGAGGCATGAGAAAAATCACCAGCAAGCCCTCCTGGGTGTCGCTGGCGTCCCCACCAGCTTTCAGCCTGTTGATGTTATTCTCATTCTGCTCATGCACCAAAAGCAACAAATACATGTCTGAGAGTGGCTAAATGGCCACATTATGACATCCTATACAGCAGGTGTTTATAGTACAATTGGGCAGGCGCAATGCAGCCCATCATAATCCAGTGTGCAGGTGACCAACATTTGATGGGGACACTCATCAGAGCTCTCTGTTGACAAAGGACATGAAAGACTCCCCTTTCGGCACAAGCAAAGGTAGTACTCGACACTCCTTGCCAGGCAAATACACACATGTATACGAGAAAGAAAAACTTGTCCATTGACTTGTCCATTTTAGATACAAATGTGCATTTTAATTGGAATGCCATCACACCCCTGAAGGGAGCATGGTGAGCACCCATGTTCTGCGTAAGTTCTTCTCCTACTTCTCAGGCATGCATGCTAACCCAGTTTTGGCCCTTGCTTTCATGGGGCTTCTCTGGTGTTTGTTTTCTATTTGTAGTAGCTTTCCTATAATGCAACAGGATCACTAGGGATGGGTACATCTGTCTATTTACAGCTATTGTGGTGCATTTTCCCCATTAATTTAAATTTAGGTTTAAATTTCTCCCTCCCTCCCTCCCTCCCTCCCTCTCTCTCTCTCTCTCTCTCTGTGTGTGTGTGTGTGTGTGTGTGTGTGTGTGTTTGCATGAATATTTTTGACATGTTTAAACTGCCATGAGTTGTACTGGAACATTGGGGAAAGTGTGTTGCTAAATTAATCTGACAGGTGTGGATCAGGTCATTCTTTGGATCTTCAAAGTTTACAATGAGAACTCAAATATTTGCACTGTATTGCCATCCCACCATGTTTCTTTTATATAACCTTTTGAAATATGCACCAAGGTAACAGAGTATAGAAATAGTCCATGCAAATCTTTGTAGTAAGCAAGCAAAGGAAAATAGGCAGGCATGGATCTGATATTTTCTGCCTTATGTTTATATAATTTATAAATAGATAAATTATATGCCTGATGAATTTCAAGATCTGAAAGTGACAGGCCTACAACATTCAAGCTGAAAAAAGACAGGGACAAGGAATTGCTTGGCAGATGGGGGAGAACTGGCTGCCTTGACCTTGCTTGCCAGTTACTGGATCTTGCTTTAGCTTTCAATGTTGCAAGTCACCCCTTTGTGCTGTGGCAAGACCTAGTTTATACTGTCCACTTCACTGACCTAGGTTCTAATCTACAAAAGCTTATGCTATGATAAGATTACTTCACATTTATTTATTTATTTATTTATTTAGAAAATTTCTATGCCAAAGTGCTAGAATTTATGGCTACCCTTCTAGAAATTGAGATAATGCCTTTATATCATCCTGCTTGGATAGATAATTGTGCAAGAAGGCAAAAGATGCAACATTTCCAGATATTTGAAGCCATAGGGGGAAAAATACTGTTCTTGCTTTAGCAATCTCTGAAAGGTTCCTAGCACAGTTATTTCTAGAATTTCTTACTGAAATTATGAATGGATAATTTATTATTTGAATTAATGTAGCTCATAAATTAAAACAGGTAAGAGAGAATTATAAACTGCCCTGAGTTTATAATTCTCTCTGCCCTGAGAGAATTATAAACTGAGTATTATTATTATTATACTTCTATACTACCTGATAACCACCTGATAATAACAACAACAACAACAACAACTATTATTATTCCTGGAATGACAAACGAGTATCTTGGGAGAAAACTGACAGATGACTTAAGAGCACAATCCTGCAGGTAGTGCTCTTGATTCCTTCCCTTGAACTTAGAAGCTTAGGATCATCCATTGTTGTAAGCCGCCCCGAGGCTTTGGTGAATGGGGCGGCATAAAAATGTTTTAATAAATTAAATAAAAATAAAAATGAAATAAATCCATCACAGAGTGGGAGGAGCAGTGGAGACAGTCTTTGCTTCTGTATACTTTCTGATCTACATTTCAGCTAGAGGACTGTTTTCTGAAGGAGGAGGAGTGAGGCTGGAGCCTCCTTTATCTTAGCATATCCAGATAAAACTTCCATATTATATAATGAAAAGATGCGGGGGGGGGGGCAAATCCAATATTGTATTATGAGTTGTTTTAAATGGATTGTAGATTGATTTAACTGGGTTGTAGAAAAAGATCTTGTTTGAAAAAAGATCCGATAAAGGCTCATTTCATGAACATTCATATAGCAATAATACTTGTAGGATAAATAGTGCAAGAGGAAGGAAGTTAATTTCAAAGTGATGAGCATATGAAAGCAATAAAATAATTTATTCAGCTCACCTGTAATTTGAGATCAATGACAGAAAAAATAAAAGTAGGAGCAAGCTTAAATTTTAATATTAGGAAAGAAAATAAACTTTTATGCATAAGAAGACATGGTAAAGTTGGAATAAAGGCCTCATGTAGAAAAGTCCTTCATTAATTAAGCAGAGCAATTACTGTTGTTGTGAAAAAGTTTCCCCCTACCTTTTAAGGTTGAGAGATGTTGCAGAGCTGGCCTCTGCTGGAAATCTTGCCTGAGTTGCCAGGGGTCTGAACACAAAAGGGATGGCTGGGAACTGCTCGGTTATCACCAAATGTCTCTCTTGGTCCCCCTGTGCATCTACTTGTTTTAGACCTCTTGGTTCCTGGATTGGGCCCATTGTGTTGGGAGACCCTTACTTTGGTAATGTAAAGGCTTAAGCTTTGATTTATTGTATTGTCCGGTAGAGCACTCCAAAAGTTATCTGTGATCTTTGTACCTCTTTTTATTTTACTCCGTTTCCCCTACCTCAATAAACTTTTTATCTACCTCTAAGTTTCTGCATGCGTCCTTCCATGTAAACATCAACATTAAATTCAACACTGCCTGCTGTGAAGCCGCCTTCCAAATTTCCATTTTGGCAGCCATTAGTTCCTCCAATCTGCCCCAGCAGCCTGGGGCAGATTGGAGCCATAAATTTCCAGCCATAAATGTTTTTTTTAACCCCTTCTAAATCCCAATTTAAAAGAGAACTCCCACTTTGACCCCATCAAATAACTACTCCCACAAATGGGAAACCTTCTCTGGCTTACCAGCAGTTTGGGTTAATCCAAGATCTGTCAATTTGTCTGGGTTCAAATGACACCACAATGTATTGTGGGTCAAACGAACTCTGCTGCAAGCCAAAACAAAAAATTAATCCTGAAAAACCCATGTGAGGTTCACATGAAATACTAACCCAACATGACTTCTAAGCAGTGTGACTAAGTAATACATCTTGTGAACCAGGTTATTGCATAGCTGTGCTTCAAAACCACATTTACTTTCAACATCAATATGGGCACAAACCAGATAGCTTTTTAATGCATTTCTGAGGTGTTTGTCCTCTTCTAAACCAAAGGCTAAGTAAATTGCTCCAAAATAAAATATTTGCATTGACCTCTGTAAATATTGCTTCTTCAGTTTCTGTCTGTACAAAAACCAACCCTCAGCCCTGAGATTAGATGTTCTAATTCTGTGGACTGCCAGCCAGGCATGCAAAGGTTTAGGAAACTTGAGGACAGGTCCTTGAAGCCAGAAAAAAAATCCCTTCTCAGAAGTGATCTCCTTTGGCAACTGCTTCTCTCCCACAAACTGCTTGGTCTCTCTGAAGGCAGCTATAATAACACAGGCAGAAAACGGAGCAGGAAAATTGAAAGGGGATGGCTAAGTATGTTTTTAGTTTTCCACATGAATTTCCCTTTGCTTTCTGTACTCTACAGACTCAGTATCTGCTATGTCTGCTACCAGAAGAATTTTGTATGAGGCTTTCATTTTCTTTCCAAGTAGAGATATGGGCCTAGTTTCATTGAGGTGATAAACTTGCACCAAAGTTGGATCATTTGGAGTGGCAGGCTAGGCATCTGTGGAGTTTTTCAAATTTGTTTCATCTGTGTTTCAGGAACTATCACGCACCTTTCATTCTGTCATCTGTTATCAACAGAACTGGGTTTTTAAAGAGTTTCACTCCACTTGCACAGGTATTCATTGGCACTAATGCACATTACAAGTACAAATATGTCCAAATACCCTCCCCAGGCTAAAAGTGGTCAACTACTGAATTCACAATCCTAACACATTTGAATTTGTTGTGGATTTTTCTGACCTCTCTACTGCAGACTAACAATTTGTCCATTCCAAAGAATTATCCCTACACACAGAAAACTCTTTGTATATTATCTATTTCACAATCAATTCAGTGCAGTTGCCATAAGAGTGTTCAGTTCCAAAAATAAAAATTAAAAGAATTCCAATAAAAAAATTCAAATTTATGAGTGGATTATACTTCACTGGCATTGTTGATCAGATTAGATGGTGATATTGCATATGTCCATGTGTTGCTCCACTTAAAAGCACTGGAAAATGATTTTTTGGTTCGAATTCCCCATCTCCTGTCCACTGGGTGATCCAGTGTCTGTGCCAGTGCAACTGCTCTGATTTGATAGGCTCAAATAGCTCCCAACCTTCAATAATGCTCAAGGATGTGGCTGTTGGACAAAAAACCCTACCCTATGGTGGTCATGGGCCCTATTTTGCAGAGATCCATCCTCTGTTGGAAGGTCTGCCCGAGGATCATCTGACTGAAGGCATCCTCTGTTTGAAGGGCTTTCATAGTTAATTTCAGTTAAAAGATAAATGAGCCATTGCTCACCAACCATTGTGTATTGGGTGGTGGGAATTAGGCCATCCTTCTACATTATAGGGAACTGGAGTTAGAAAAGAGCATTCTATTTGAAGCACTGTCCCAGAGCACATGGACTGCTTCACACAGAGTAGTTAATAGAGCCTTGAGTGAACATGGTAGACTCAACTTGCTCTCAGAAATTTACTGCTTAGCCATTATGCTATAAACATTCTCATTAAGAATTGATGTTTCTTTACTGGATTGATACTTGTTACCCACAGCCTGTTATATTTTCACAGGAAGCCATTGTAACATATCTTCGCACTTAGTAATCTCCATTCTGGGCATCAGGATGGAGGGCATTGCCCAAACTGTTGCCTTTCAAATGTTTTGTGTTTTAATTCCCAGAATTCCTGAGCATTAGCCATGCTGGATGGGGTGATAGGAATCCAAACTGTCTGGAGATCTGCAAGTTAGGGGAAATTGATGGCTATTGTGGCTAGATCTGCTTATCACACCACTTACCACTATCATGAATCATTATAGTCCCAGAAGTGATGACATAACATATAGTAAACAGCATGCACGCTGTATGTATCTTATTACACAGGGTCATCACATATGGGTTTATGCCATGGTTTATTCATGCACACAGAAGCCACTCTGCTATTTGAGGCTTTTTGAAAGCACTGAAATAGATTGCATGAACTGCTTGATGAGGTTCATGTACTATGAATGTAGATTCCTGCAAGGAAGTGCTATCCATTGCAGAAATTTGTCATGTTTGAAGTGGCCCTAAGGGTTTCACAAAAGGACTGTAAAAGGAACTGGAGCTTTATTAGGAGCTGTGAAATTGAAATATTCTTCCACATAGGCATGCTGTTAATAATTGATCTTGTCTGAACTACCACAGAAGCTCACTGATGGTCTTTAGACTGGTCTGGCTGTCCTCACCAAGCATATTCTTTATGTGGGGAGAAACACTTTAATGAGTGAATGCAAACAGATAGGAAGAACTGGCCTTATTTATCAATCAACCTCCTTCAAAGATGGAGATAGAAGATGAGAGAAGAAACACAACCAGGGACCAAATTAACCTTCCTAATCATTCATTTCTTTACTCCAGTGTAAGTATATAGCCCCAAACCAGATAGGGACCAAGAAATCCTTGGATCAGGGTTTTAAACCTCCCTCTCACTCTTTTTTTGCTCTGAAATTCTACCTCTTACATTCCCAATGGTACCTTGGTTCCCTGAGCTAATACTGGAGAATGTAAACATACATGCTGAGCCCACTTGGTGGGAATAGCCCAGGACTTGATAACTTTTGAGACAACCAAGGGTTTCTCTCAATTAGTACCTGGCCCACTTAATACTTGGTAGGGTTAGGTTTGCTGGGACTTGGAGCCTCTCCAGGGGTGGGAGAATGATTAAAATGGTCCATCCTTGGATACTGATGGATCTGGATGTGACTCTAGATGGAACTACTGTCACCTCAGTAAAGTCCTCACTGACTCAGAGAAAGTATCCAGGTCCTTGCCATGATCACTCCTGAGCATTCTATCCTATGAAGTGAAGCCAGATAAGCTCCCTGGTTTTCCAAGCACTGAGGCTGATGAAGCCAGTGGTGCACTAACTAGAGCAACATCAGTGAGAATGAATCCAGCTAAGCATGGCCTGTCCCAAATAAAACCAGACCTCATTTTAAAGCCTGCACTGTGACACTGAAGGTAGTTGCAAGAAATTGTACTTCTCTGCCAGTGTTGCATCTTCCTAGCAGCGTTTTTATGGGGGAGTGGAGGTAGAAGTCTTAAAAGAAGAAATGGTGGACTACTTGATAGCCCATTGTGACAATGTGGCTGACACTTCAATGATAAAAGCAATCATATCTTTGCCACCATCACTGCCTTTCATCTACACATGGGAGAGTATTCCAAAACGTGAGGGCTACCACCGAAAAGGTCTGCTTATGTGCTGCTAGCTATCCTTCACTATTCCATTAGCAAAGGAAAAATCAATAAGGGCTTGAGAGAAGATCTCAGGGGCTGACTGGGTATGTAAAGGGGGAGATGGTCAATCAGGGATCCTGGTCCTGAGTGATTTAATGCACTGTATATCAACAGCAGGACTTTGGCTCAGTAGCTATTAGGTAGCTGGTGCAACACAGATGCACCATGGGCATATCTTGGTGCTCTAGTGGGCACTCTCATTGCAGAGTTCTGAAGTTTCTGAGCCAGGCACAAGGGCAGCCTCATGGAGAGCACATTACATCAGTCTGACTGTGATGTTGGCACCAATACTTAAGCCTTGCTTTATTTAAAGGAGAAATGATGGAGCTTAAGCACCTGGAAGTTCCACCTTCTTTTCCCAAAAACCCTTTCTCTCATCTGTATAAGAACTCTCTGGAGATACACAGTGGTGGGGAAAATACCCTCTGCACTTCCTCAGGAGCAGTTTGACTCAAATCTGTCGGGAAATACCATCATTCCAGGGTGTAGCCCTTGCATTGACAACGAATGCCCTGTCAGGCAAATCCCTACTATAAGGAATATAGCACAATACAAAAATGTCTAGCAAATCACATAGACAGTTGCCCTACTTTGCCTAGAAAAGTTACAGCTGGGAATGTTATGTACAGGGTCCAAGGCTATCTGGAAATATCTTGTCTCTAGGTAGTTTAGGATTAATTCCATGTAATTATATTTATCCTTTGGAGATGTTGGTTGCTTTGATGCACATTTAAAAAACAAATTACCCTAAACATGTTCTTGTTTAAGCAAGTTAAAATGTTCAGTCTTCTCTGGTTTACATTTTTCTGTGTTAATAGGATGGATATCTGTTAAAATCCCACCTCTGTAAGAAGCCACATAAAAAGGAACTACGTATTAAGAAGCCAGTTGCTACATGGTGTGTAGCTTACATGGCAGAAGATGATTCAGAAGATGGAACAGGAAATCCAAGTTCTAGTCCCCATTCTGCCATGAAGCTCATAGGTTGACTAACCCACTCACAGGGCTGCTGTGAGGATAAATCAGAGCAAAGTAAGCCACCTTGGGTTCCTCACAA